TCAGATCCTTCAAGGTAGGCTTCACAGCCAGAGAACTTTATTAATTCAGTCCTTTCCATTAGCCAGCATCTTCCTCATGGAGAATGGCTGTTACTTGACCCTTGCTGAACCTACATCTTCTATAGTGAAGGTGAGATTTTAGAGTTGAGTAGGGGGGTAAGGTGAACCCAGGATCATACCTGTCATGTACCTTGTGGTTTGAGGCAACCCGCCATGATGATCCTAATCCTCATCTTGTAAATGGGAATAATAATCCAAGCTTTGCCCACTTCTCAAGGTGGGACAATAATAGATATAAAGGACACATTGTTATGAGTTGAATTGTGTCCCCTCAACATTTCAAACCTGATTTGGAACTAGGTTCACTGCAGGTGTAATTTGTTAAGATGAAATCATAATAGAGTGGGATGGGCCCCTAATTCAATATAACTGGTCCTTAAAAAGGGAAGGAATTTATTCACAGATACACCCAGGAATGATGTCATGCAAAGAAGAAGGTTGAGATTTGGTTGATTTTCTATAAACTCAGAAACACCAAAGATTGCAATCCATCAGAAACTAGGGGAGAAGTATAAAAGAGATCCTCCCTCACACTCCTCAGAAGGAAACAACTGGGGCAGGCAGATGGCGTGACGGTTATGTTGCTGGACTCCCACATAGTCTACTGCAGATGGGTTCCAGACCCCAGGGCTTAAACTCATGCTGGGCATGTATGCATGCATGCCCAAAATTCAGAAAGGAGAATGGAGGAAAAGGGATTGCAGGTGGCCACTCTCCCGGAGGGTGATTTCCTGCTTTCTGTCTCTCTGTTTCTGTCTCTACAGTGCGTGCATGCTCCTATAGAAAAAATCTCTTAAAGAAAAAAAAAAGAGAGAAGGAACCAACCACTGCCTACATTGTGACCTTAGATTTCCATACTCCAGAACTGTGAGATAATACCTTTTTGTGATTTAAGCCACTGAGTTTTGGTGCTTTGTTATGGCAACCCTAGCAAACGAATACACTGATGATGTTGGTTTTGGTAACCGAGCAATAAGAACCACGAGAAATACTGGCGCAGGCAGGGACAGGGCAGGATCTAATGCCCTTAACAATATTGGCCTAAAGACCTTGGTCAAGGCATTTAAACTCTCTGAACCTCCATTTCTTTTATGAAGTGAGAAATTCATGCTGTGTATATTGCCTTTCAACAAATTTTTTTTGGGGGGGATAATGTATTTGAAAGCATTTTGTAGGATGTGAACTTCTATACAACTATTTGTTTGGGGAGGGTTTGTTTCTGACTTGGTGATGGCAGGAAGGAAGGAAGGAAGAAAGGAAGGAAGGAAGGAAGGAAGAGATGCCCCAGGACAGAATTTAGATACATACTGTGCATTTGTGGAAAGCCACATATAATACTTGATTAATTTTGTGACATGAGCGACACATCGCCATCAGTCAGAGAGGTGATCTGACTCCCCACTCCTCATTTATATAGCCCATGGAGCCCAGGAACAGCGAGAGGCTGACCTGTCTGGCAGACTTGCCTGGGGCCACCAATCTTCTGACCAAAGCCTTGGCCAGCCCTAGGCAGGTTTCTACTCAGTTCCCAAAACTGCAGTCTCTCTCATGCCAAAGGGAAAAACCATGCTGCTCCTCTTGACTCCCAGCTCAGCTCCCCTCCACCTCAGATATGGATCTGAGATTGTTCTAAAGCACACTGAATTATTGAATGCAAATAATAAATACATATAAAAAGAAAAGACCGAAACTGAAGAACATGTTACAAAACAAAAGTTTTTATAATAAAACTGTGAGGATGGTAAAGAATGAAGAGCTGTACCAGACCAAAGGAGACTAAAGGGACATGACTACAAAGCAACATGTCATCCTGGATTGGATTCTGGATCTAAAAGGAAAAAGAGCCACTGTTGGGGGCCAGCAGCTGGCGTAATGGCTATGTTGCTGAACTCCCATGCAGTTGACCGTGGTTTGAGTCCTGGACCCTGTGTCTTAAACTCATGCCGGGTGTGTGTGCATGCATGCCCAAGATCCCGAGAGAATGGAGGAGAAGGGATTGTAGCATGGCCATCCCCTCTGGGGGGTGATTTCTTGCTTTCTGTCTTCTCTCTTTCTGGCGAGTGCATATGCGCTATAGCAAAAAAAAAAAAAAAAGAGAGAGAGAGAGAGAGAAAGAGACACCGTTGGGATCGATGACAAAATTTGCATGAGGCCTTGATAATAATAGTGTTGTTTTGATTAGCTCAGATCTGTCTATTCGCACCAGTGCCTGGCACATGGTAGGGACTCGGTACATAATTATTATATGTATGAATGAATAGCTGTGTGTGTGTGTGTGTGAAAGAAAGTATGATCTAGTATTAAGAATTTGAAACTGTTGAAAATGCAGTTTAATTTTAGCATAAAGAACATTTACTGGCAGCCTGAAAGAGAGCAAGATACAACTTAGAGGAGCTTCAGAGTTTGAACGCAGAGAACGAGATGATGCTAACTTCCCCACGAAGAATTGGGAGGCTTAAACAAGGGCAGGAATGGTGTGATGGTTCATTGCTGGGACCATGCAGTTAACACAAGCTGAGTATGAAAGAACTGCCCCTCAGGCCCAGAGCAAGGACTCGGCTGAGGAGAACTGTTTGCAAGGTCAACAGTTTTATGAGTTCTGGACCTCACCTTCATTGTGTTACTGTACTGGCCTGCACTCAGTTTCTCTGCCATGGGCCTTATTGCCATACCCCGGTACCCCATAAAGGCACCCCCAGCCTTACTATAACTTTTACAATAATCCTGAAAGAATGCGGATCCACTAAGGCGGCAGCTGCGTAGGGCGGCAGCTGCAAACAGGAGTTACTCCCATTAGACTCATCCCACCCTCCTGGAAAATGTCAATAAAGAATGCTACATTTACTTCTCCTACTGGGCATTACTAATGGGCGAAGGATCTCAGTAGCCGAGAGGTGCTCAGGGACTCATCAACGAGATGCTGTTACCCCAAAGACCATAAGCCACCCTTACTCTCAGGACAAGGGAAGATCGCCATTCCCCAAGCCACGGTCATTGTATAGAGCAGCATGTAGAGGGGTCCAAGTACACTGTAACCTTTAGCTACTCACAAGACCACATTCCTTTCCTATGTAGACTCACCCTCTTAGCTGTAGACTACCCCAGAGATAACATAAGTATTTCACTTTAGTATATACTAACCTTGTCTTTACTAAACCAGACAGAATTTATTTCTAGGCTCTTGTAATTACTGCCACCCTA